CCACAACAGCTGTAGTAGCAGGGTTGCCTACCCCTGATCTAGATCATCACCCATCAGATGCCGACAATTGCCAACCATGCGGATACAAAATTGTAAATGCCTGTTTGGTTAAGCATTTATCTCTTAAGCCCTCTTCACACCTCCATTGCATTTTGCTCCCAAAACACATTGGCTCTATGTTGCTTTTATATCTTTATCAATAAGATTTTGGACTCCTCTTCGTTTGTCGCTCGTTGGAGAGGGCAGTCACAGCTGGCTCTAGAGTGGCAGAGCCAGCTGTCAATCAGGCAGCCATGTGGACCCTGCCAATATTATTGGTATCCTTCCTGTCTGCAGCGTGACTCTGCAATATAAGCATGTAGTGGGCATCAGCTTGTTATATGATACATTAGTAAATACACTCCTGTGACCCCAAAAAAGGTTTGGCTTTAGTTCTCTTTGAAATTTTTGTGGGGTCTATAAGTAACTGTGCCACAATACTCTGTGTATCCAGTATTAATTGATATAGTCCTAGACATTCTGCCAAAGTGTGCATGAAACATGTTGTAGAATCTTGGCCGTCATGTAATGTGACGGCTAAAAATGTAAAAATTATTTTAAATAAGTCTTAATGCCCAACTCCAGGCTGCTGTTAAAGTTACCCATGCAGTGAGGCCCCCCCTCCCCGGTCTTGCACTGAATGGGTTGCTAGTTCGGCTAGGTGGGAAAGGAACAGGTACAAATTCTTAATCTTGCTTCCCTGGCAGCTGGATCTCTTCCACACTGTCTGGCGCTCAAGGATGTGGGTGAGCCCTCACTGTCCTCCCATACATTGCAGGACTACTGCTCCTGCACTGTGCGTGACAACACCATAGATCAGCGACTGGCCGGGCAGCAAAAAGGTAGGTAAGTATTTCACCTTCTTCCCACTTCCCCAGCTCCAGCCAATCGAGTATTTAACCCACGCAGTGCAGAGGGTGATGGCAGCAGCCCAGAGTGGGGCTTTACAGGGGAACTATAGCAAATGCTACAGGAACAGGGAAACATTGTTGTATTAGTTGTCAAGGAAATGATACACACACGCAGGAAATAATGTATTTGTTTTACCTGCTGCTTTGTATATGTCACGGAACATTTCTCAGACAAACCTTTCCACATAACGAGAGGTCAGAGGCCTTTTTAGAAAGTTTACTCAGAGAATGTGATACTGGTTTGTAACGTATCCCATGCCGCAGAGATCTTAACTTAAAAGGTATTCATAGGGTGGATACAAACACGCAGATTTCCTGGCTATAAAGACATTAATATCTGACATCTTTACATCTTTGTATTAACTTGCAAGTACCTATGACTGAAACTTTTTCTCGCCTTTGCCTTGGGCCACATTTTTCTTTGTGAGGCGTTTCCATTAAGGCAGCATTTATTTTTCCTCTGGTTCTGCTCGTGATACTGGTTATTTTTAAATACATTTCGACTTTTGAAGCAACTTCAGGAAAAAAAACTACTTTATACTTATTACATGTTTTCATCCACACAGCAAAACGTTAAAAAAAATGCTGTGTACATATTACTTGCTCTTTTCTAAATAAAAGGTTTTTCTCTAAACTGAATTTTCCACTGAAATGCAAGGGGAGTTGGGAGGTTAATGTTCACCATAATAACCTGCTTGTACTGTACTGGCCAGAGTTTCCTGTCACTTTGAAATTCTACAGGGAAGGTTGCAGTCTGCCCTAAAGGCCTACTCTACAGACACGTCCAAAAAGTTAAGACATCTGAAAATATATATTTTTCAGTATTCTGTGTGAATGGGATCACAAACATATATTGGGGTTCTCAAATTTGACTGCAAAAGTTGAAATACCTTTTAACCACTCAACTTTTTTATGCAGAAGCTTTAATAATCAGTGTACTGCTTTTCAAGACCACAACAATGTTTTCCATTGTCCTTTGATCAAAAACTGTTAATCAAGAGGCAAATAAATATAACATTTTGTATAAAATTCTTGGGAGTTCAGGTTCGTAACTGTACCCCATTAGGGCTTGTGATCCACAGCTGAGCACCTACAGTGTACTAGTTTGCCTACTACAATTGCACTTTAAAGTGGGAGTTCTGCTATTTACACTAGTGGTGTCTTAAAGTGAACCTGTAACCAGTCAATGGACATTCAAGTATTTTTTTCTTAACATGCAGTAAATGAGCTTTAAATTTACTCTGCCGGGGGAGAAGTGTGTGGCTGAAAATGCCAGATGCTTGGCTGTGTTGAACATTGGTATGTTTCACAAGTTATTTTTTCCAGTGGGGATGCCTGTTTCTATGACAACTGTCAAAGTTAGAATTTTGATTGCCAGTTATTTCTCGGCAGGTTCCTTAAAACAGAAAAATAAGTTTGCACAATGAAGACAAAGCAATAGGACGCTTACAGAGACCCCCCACTTTATAATAAAATGAGACATGCACAGACATGTTCCCTTTAAAGCCCAATTGAAGTCTTGCTTTTTACACTTGTTATACAAGTGTGCTGGAGACCCAGACTGCTGAACTCTGTGTGACAGCAGTGGTGCATTTCTCCAGTATTCTGCCCACACAGGGCAGCTTCTTACAGTTTTATTAACGTACAGATTAAAAAAAAAAAAAAAAAAAAGCTATATTCTTGACTTATGTAGTCAGACTGCATAACAAATATAAAAAGCAGAGGCTTTACACATTGCTGATGACCACAGTCTAAAAACTACTTTATTAGGAAACCTTGGTTCTTTTAAAAAAAAACCTCTAATTTAGAATACTTCTGGAGGCACCTAATTTACATCAATGTTGGGCAACACATGCCTTCTCATATGCAAAGTAACTACAGGTCCCAGCCTACACTGCCAACCAGAAGCCACCCTCTGTATTTCCCAAACATCAGCCTGGATATGCTAATTATAGGAAATAAAAGGTTAATGGAATTCCAAGCACGTGCAGGTAAGATACTTCATAAGGGACCCGAGATTTCCCACACCTTTTCTCTGGATGTTGATGAAATTAAACATACAATTTGAGTATCATTTCCATGCATCCGTGATTACACCTTTAGGATAAGGGGGTTTATGATTTCAGGAAGTGAGCAAGTCTCTTTGCAACAAAGAGCTAAGTAATCTGTCTAGACATTTCTAATTACTGGAATTTTTATTGCAAACACTGGCATGCTATTTTTATGTAATCATGCTTACATTACCAGAGGGTAGTATTTCATATTTTGAAATCCCTCTAAACAGTTTACTGCTTGGCTATATAATCAGTGTGCTTATTTGAGCACTGTGTTGTAATTTTCAGTGAGAGCCCCAACACCAGAAATAAATCGAGAGCGCCTGAGCATTCGGACTTTACTGCATATCATTGTTACGGAGGTCCAGATTACAAGGTGGTGGCTGTTCAGCTGACACTTGCACATCTTGGAAAGCAGAAGAGCAATTGGCTAGTGGAGCCATTAGTACACCTTTGTGTTCATTTTCCTGTGATCCAGAGAGACCATATATGTGAAAATGACAGGATTGTTTTGGATATCTTCTTTTAAAATAATGAATTGCTTGTGTACTTGCGGCTGCAACGCAGACAATTGCGAAAGCTTGGCTGACTGATTCCCTAGCCTTTGTTGAAGTGAAACACAGAATACAATGGTCATTTACCAATGAGAAGCTAACTGAGAAAACTACTGGACACCATGTCTAAATTTAAGAAAGTATGGGACCCTTGGGTACAACATTACTTACCGCCCTCATTTTACCAGTTCCTTATTGACCTGTAATGTTCCATACCGGCCCTGTTGAGTCGCACTATGCTTGTATGGTTCCCAGGGATGCCCCCTTATTTCTCTTTTTTTCACTTTTCTACTTCACTCTCCTTCTGTTGTTTAGTCTTTCTGTTGCTGTCTCTTCTCATATTGTAGAGTATACGTGCTTCATGCTTCCATTTGCCTATAGGCTGTTTTCAAAAGCTTGATGTCTGGGTGTGCTCACTACAGCTGCCTGAGGATCTTGTTGAACTACTGCACTGTCAATTGCACATAATGAGCTGATTTGCATTATTTATGGCACGCTCTGTAATATGTCATTGTTCTTTACATTGCTGTACTTCATCTATATTTATTTTATTAAAAATGTATTGGAAAACAAAAATGTTTATTATTATCTCAGATGTTATTGTATGAGAGAATTCTGTACCTCCACGATAGCCCCATCCTCAAAAGGACATGTGGCATGCAATTAGTATCAACACACGGGGACTCTAATATTCTAATATAACAGCTAGTCAACCAATATAACTGGACAACAGGCCATGTAAGAACCATATGTTATTCAGAGGACAGGTAGTCTCGCTAAATTACCAGTCAGCATTTCTTTTTAAGGACGAATGGCCAAATCACCACCAAACTCCTCTAACAGTTAAGTGTGGGGACTCTTTTGGTGATGGAAAGGAGACTACATCCCTTTCCTGTTTAAAAAAAAACCAAAAACCTGACAACCTCTGAGATTGAGATGATGTTAAATGGGCAGACAAAATTGATTATTCAGGCAGCATGTAGAAAACGTAGGCCAAGATCTAAGGTTTTCCCTATATGCACCTTGGCTTTTACTGTATGTACTCTGTCTGTTATTGTGGAGTGTACTAAGGTTGGTGATTAGCAGGCAGATCTCCCATGGACAGAGAGAGAGAAATCTGTGGGAGACATTTCATTTTTGCACACATGTAGGGCTTGAAGATAGGGAATGATTCAAAAGTTTGCACATTCTTTTTATTGATCATTTGCTAACACCTACATGTCCTAATTGTTGCCACTGATCCTCAGATTGGTCACTGATGATGCGTAGTCACCCCATCCCTTGACAGTGTCGAGTCTCAGCTGATATAATGCACAATCGTAGTACTTTACCAAGATCACTTTACATTCAAATATAACAGCACTTTACAAAATGCTACGAATAGTATGATAAAAACTCATTGTATAGTTTATAAAAAGATTTTTTTATTTCATTTTTGTTTGTTTTGACCAAGAAAGCGGGACTGCTGCTTTAAGAGGAGCGTGGTATGATAATTTTACCTTCAGATCCAACACTGATATAGAAAAATGCAAGAAATCACAGGAGCGCATTATCTGCTGTTTGTCATGCAGTATTTGCTAGTTTCAATGCTCAGTTGTCCAACTGGCGCCCATCTCAAGTGCCTTCCCAAGTGTATTTTTTTCTTCCGCCATTAGAGTCCCTTAGCAACATACAGTACAAAGTCTTATTGCTGTAATATTTCAATATGGCATTAAATGGTTCATTAGTTAATGCTGCAGAAAACAAAAAGAGAGAAAAAAGTGCTTGGACCTTAATCTGTACATACATACATTTTGTAGTTTTTTTTGTTTGTTTTGTTTTTTTTTATTACATTTGTGGCACTCCAGAAATGATATTTGTCATCTATAAAGCAAAACTTTCCACTTTTAAGTGAAGAAAAATTGAATTGCACTTTTTTAACATGTATTTGGAATGTTAAAAAAATATACTAATTTTAAAGGGTTACATATAGGATTAAAAGTTAAAAAAAATTACCCTGTATTTCTTCTTCCTTTATGTACAACATGTATCTTTTTAACGCATCTGCCCCTGTCCCTGCAATTTTAATTTCCAATGTATTCAAAAATATAGTCTTATTTGATAGGGTAGGCTTCAAGTAAAGGAGCAGAACAGAGAAATATATTTATATTTCTCTACTGTTCAAAGTTAGAACATGCAGTTCGGTGCTCCAGTTGAGTAGAAAGTCCATTACTGCATGATCGAAAAGCTTCACAGGAGCATGCGGATTTTCTGGGGGGGAAAAAAATTACCCCCGTTCCCTTTTTCTGTGTACTCGTACATTTTCTTCTAATCTTTGTATATTTACACATATCTTTAAAAATAAAAACAGAAAAAAAAAGTTAAAAAGTGTCTATTTGATAAGTGGCCTTTTAACTTAAAACTCCTATCACATGAGACGGTTAATTTCTAAAGTAATACAGTGAACTAATTTAAAAAATAAAAACGCACACAAAGGAAAAATAAAATAAAAAAAACTAAGGGTCATTTAGCACAACTGATAAAAAGATCAGCAGAAGTCTTCAAAGCACTGGAAAAAAATGAAATCACTGTCTCTTCAGATGGGAAAAAGGCATACACCATAGTCCAAAAATGTTATCGGAATAAAAGCAAAAGTTATGAAACAATCCAATGGTAAGCATATTCAGGAGTGGAAAGGTTATCCACTGCTAAACAAGGCTAGTTATTCTTTTCCAGGTTGAGGGAGTCTTTTTTTCTGAAATGCATATTTATCAAGGCTAGCTTGCTCTAAGACTTAACTGGTGACATAGTGCTTGGTGGCTGGCTGCCCATAGACCCTATAGAAATCTTGGCGGCTATGCTGCTGGGAAGCATCAATCCATTCTCTCACAGCGAGTCCTGGAAGAGATTGCGTTACAGATGGGGTGGGTGGAAGAGGATGAGAGTACTCCTGGGAAGAGACTGTCCATGGGAAGTGGCCAGACCTGGGATACGGCTGGTGTCCACTGTGATTGGACACTGAGGAGCAATAACAGTTGTCCACAGAGCAGACCAGGATCTTGCGTCCTCCATACTGGGAAAGGACAGACTGCTGAGATGAGGAGGTATTCGGGTAGTGGGAGGGGTTGAAGACAGAGTTGGAGTGGACCGGCTGTGGGCCGCTGGGAAGTCCTACGATATGCTGGGTGGAGCTGCAAGGCACCATGGGTTGCGATGACTGGCCCTCACCAGTGGAAGAACCCTGGCTTATGTACTGGCCACTAACAGTTCCTGGTGCCGGGTCAAGGAAGCTGCCTTCAGGGAATGCAGTTGAATGCTTGCGCTTTTCTGCCCCTGAGCTGCTTACATTGCAGGCGTACATAGGAATGTTCTGCAGGAATGGCACAGGTGTGTTGAATGGACCTGAGGAAAAAAGAAAAAAAAATAGTATAGCAACACACACTACATGCACATGTGGACACAATCACAATCTTATATTTGCGGTTTTTAATCATACATGTACATTACAGTAGCAATATTTGCATAAAACATATACCTGACAACTACTAGCTCAACAAAAGTCTATGGCTCAAAGGGTAATTAACAGCTGTTTAACAGGAATTACAATGACCAATATCCTTCCAGGCTATGCATTGGCTGAAGCCAAGGTCTAGGGCAGGGGTAGCCAAACTGCGGCCCTCCAGCTGTGGTGAAACGAACAAATCCCATGATGCATCTCTCTCCGGGAGTCATGTCTGTGGCTGTGAGAATCTTGCAATGCCTCATGGAATTTGTAGTCCCACCACAGCTGGAGGGCCGGAGTTTGGCTACCCCTGCTCTAGGGTCTCATCTTCCTCTCATTTCTCACATGTATCACAGATAAACTGCTCTATCTAGACATGGGCACTGGTTGCTCCTGCCTATGTTAAAAGTACTCCCACAGCAGGGAGCTTCAGTACTTCCCTGGGTAGGGGAGGGGTATCTAAAGGACGCATACAAAGGGTGAAGTCAGACTAGATGGTGCAGGGCCAGATTTCTGCATACCCAACACAGGCAGTGGTCAAAGGTAGCTAGAAGGAACAAATTATGTCATCAGTAACAGTTCCTGTGTATGATAAAAGGTCACAGACTCTGTTCCCCAGTGCAATCAAGCCCACTTCCTCATTGTTGCTGTCCTTGTGTAGTACTATGGATCATTTAACCCATTCATGTTAGCAGAGGATAATTGTAAATGTATTGTTGCAGGCACTCTATATGTACATGTACTATATACTACATATAGAGTGCACTGAACAATAGATTTACAATTATCCTCTGCTAATATGAATGGGTTAAATGATCCGTAGTACATGATATGTAGCCCTGTACCCCCTTTTCCACTTACAGAGCTAGGTTATTTTTCTTTTAAATAAATATTAATGTATTTTAATGGTATCTATCTACCATTAGCTGCCTCATTTCCCACCCTCGGCTTATATTCGGGTCAATACTTTTTCCCAGTTTTTTTGGCTAAAATTAGGTACCTCGGCTTATATTCGGGACGGCTTATACTCGAGTATATACGGTATTTGTTTTGGCAGAGTAGTGCGATGTGTACTTACAGTTCACCTGTTCTGGGTCTGTACACGTAGAGCAGAACTGCTAGCAGAATTAGGTGTACTAAGGCAAAGGGTGCTACTAAGGCTAGCTAACTGACTATGCATGCAAGGAGGGGAGCACCACAAGACAGTTGGCCTAGGGAGAAAAAAGCATAAATCTGGCTCTGGCTGTGAGTGATTCCAAAAGTCCATTACATTAAGTATTATTACTTTTTTTTCTGCACATTTTTGAAGGATCAGTGTGTGTGGGGGGTGCTATAAGATTGGTTGGTACTCAGAGAACCTATGAAGGTGCTAAATAGTAAGTAACAACCTGTCTGGTAAAAACCATTCCAAACATTAAAACCTAAAGAAATGTTGTCACATTATGTCACTTTGCCCATTTAGGAAATCCAGCATGACAGGCTATCTTGAAAGAATAACCCCCACCTGCTGATACTCACCTTTGCCGCACACCCACTGCAGTACTATTGCTCTGCTAGCGAGCTGTTGGGAAATACCCAGTGCATAAGCATTCGACCTCCTTTCAGTATGAAGTTCTCAGGCCTGAGCAGTTAATCACAAGGCCTAAACGCTGTTACAGAGGAATGGGAACCCTGAATTCTGTGTGATCTCAGGCACCATCGGATACAGAGCTGGGGGTTGTTCTTTCAAGAGAACCTGTTACTTTGCACTGTACTGCCAAAAAGACAGTCTCATTAAGTTAAAAAACTGTTGTATTAATGCCTAGCAACACTGGGCATCTATATCAGATACATAAAAGGAACAAATAGCTTTTTTGCTTACAGCATTCAATTAGATTTTTTTCAGTCTTCTATACTAATAAAGGAATAACCTTCCTGGTTTCTAAAGGCACCAAGATTTGCTCTTCCTTCAGGCACTCTGATAACACAGCCCAGTGTCAGTTGATTGTATAAGACCTTGTGAGAGTATGAAACTATAAAGTACCTTCCAGCATTTTCCTCAGCTGTTTCTCCTTCTTGGAAATTTCTGTCAGGAAGAGTTTGGAGTTAAGATGCCCGATTTTCGGTGGAGGGAGGCTTCCCCCGGTGCAGTTTTGAGTCCTGTCACATGAGAGAAACAAAAATCACATTGTTACTCAGCTTACATAAATCCTACAGTGCATTTAATGCATTTACACAATCACTTCTCCACGTGTGCATTACAAAAAATGCATTGCACACATCAGCTACCAGCAAGATCCAGATGTTTTAGGCACCATTCACGCCAGATACGTTGGCATCCGTTTTTCAACGGATGCCAACCAAAGGACATCTGAAAATGAACGGGAGCTGGTCACACCAGTGCGTTGATGTGAGCTGCCCTGCACTGAAGAAAAAGTAGAGCAGGCGCTACTTTTTTTCTATGCAGTGCAACACAACACATGTTTAATGCGTGTCAACACCAGATCATAAAATTCAAAGTGTGGTGTGGACTCTATAAGTGTTCTCTGCATAATGCATACCAATTAGTGATATGCCTAGGCTCTTTTTTTTTTTAAAGGCAGTCGTATGACCATGGTAAGGCAATATTGCTGCGTTATAAAATCGCCCCTTCCTGTTCTTGTTTTTTGGACTAGAATTTTTAAAGAGTGATAACAGCATAAGTGTTAGGTAAAAGGGTTCCTAATAACATTTACTTTTTGAAAAAAACTGCTATACAGACATTGATATGTTTGTAATTTGCCAATCCGGGAGTCAGCAACAACATGAAAGCTGGCCATTGACCATACAGAAGGTCAGACCTATGATGGAAATAGCCTTCCTATGCTACCCTAAACATCAAAGAATTTTATTAAAACCTTAAATTTAAATGATATAATGTTCTAAGATTGCCAAACTTCCCCAAAGCAATATACATTACAAACCAAAAGATTTTTGAAAGATTTAAGTAGACCCATCATGTATTACTGAATAAACCTAACTGAATAAGAATGGCCTGATCTCAATGTATTTTTAACAACACACTGCTCTATGGAAAATTGCCTGTAACAATGTGTGCTTCCTTTATTGTCATATATGGTGTAGGTGCCCTTCAGAAATTAACTGCTGTTGGCAGAAGTTCCAAGTCATTGATGTTATTAAAGTGCCACAAGGCCAATCACAAGCTTCTAATGAGACTAGAATCATGAGTGTACGCCTCTCAATATAGAGAACTGTCAACTCTTCAATAAATTCCAGAACAATCTCCATTAGGTAAGTAATATGGCTTACTTCAGGATAACATTGAGCTGCAAGATGCAGAAACATTTGTAACAATAAATATTCACATGCAATTTCTCCTATGTCATTTCTTTCTGAAACTTATTAAATAAAAGTAGCTGTATGTATGATATATCTCTACTCTTGTAGCACCCAGTGCATCTCCATTTTCTGTGGTGGGACCTCCTCAACCACTCCTCAATGTAATCCATCTGTCCCTGTCTAATCCAAAAACATACTAGTAGATAATTGAACTCAGTCTGGAATCAGGAACCATATAATGTACCGCTTTAGGGGTAGTGAACTGCTCTTTTATAGAACTAGAATTCAGATCGGACGTGTATTTTGCTTATCCATACTTAAATGTTAACAGTCTTGAAATGGATACAGAGAAAGTAATAAAAGGGCTGAAATACTTCCCTTGCCTGGAGAAAATGCTGGTTTAGGATCCATACCCTCATTACTGACCAAGTCTTAAATGATCTCTGCTGAATGAGAAGATCACAGTGCAGTTTGGCTGATTGCCCCTTCACAAAAGACTATATAACCCAGTCCCTAGGCTTAGAACGTGGTCAGTAGTGAAGGGATTGTGGAGCAGAATTTTAAAAAGGGAAATAATTTTAGCCCTTCTGTTATACTCTTGTTTTTTCTTTATTAATCCCAGCAAGCGGGCTAATGTAGCTTATAACATTTAAATACAGGCTTCCCCTAAAAGATATTCTACAAGGTTCCCTTTCCTTGTCAAGGTTGTTTCCTTGATCCTTACGGCTGCAGAATAAACTAAAGGTAATAGCCAGGACTTTTAGATTTAGCATTTGTAGCAGTTATTTTTGGATGAGATGCATTTAAAAAGAAAACAACTCGGAAAATGTGCATTTGCCATCTGCAGGCAGCAAAACTCAAATGGCCATACGTGACAACACAAGGTCTATAGTGCCCTGCAGCAACCCATCAGTTTTAGCATTTTCCACTTGCAGGTTTGAACATGTTTACTCTGGGGCCCTACAAAAGATTTATTTCTGACTGCAGAAAAGTTGACAGGTTTTTTGTGTAATAAATGAAAATGTCTCAGAAATGAATCATTTTTGGGTCACGACTTAATGACCAAGGAGAAATGTGGGTCCCGAGGTTACACAGGTTGAGAACCACTGTTCTAGAGTACAAGGAGTGCTGCTGTGCAGTAGCCTATGTAAAACCAAACAACAGATTCCAGCAGCTAACTTTGGACTACTGCATAATATTAGTCTTTGCAGGTTTGTAAAGAATCACAAAAGTCTACATATCATTTACATCACATTTAATATGAGTGAAGAGTGAAGTATTGGCCCTACTATTCCTGCAGCATAAATAATCATCAGAAGCCTCCATCCATTACACAGCACTCTTGACCCTGGACAATGGCTGGCAAAGGCTTTCTGTAGACCTATGCCCTTGTTCACCGTCCTCAATCACTGAGAATAAACAAAGCAATCTACCTAGGAAACACAAGTAAACAGCGCATGCAGCACACTGGAACACTGATTGCAAATGCTAATCTTACCTGTCCATCAGGATTTTCACAGACTTTGTATTCTACAAAAATAGAAAGACAGTCATTGAGTAAGGTTAAAGTGGTGCAATGCAGCTGAATTTTTTTAACACACTATTTTACCTGCACTCATTTTATAAAACTAAAGCACTGATAATACTGTTATGAGACCCACTGCCACCCTGGCAAAAAAAAGAAAGAAAATTAGCTCAACACCAAACACCTGGATCTGATCATGTGACCTCAACCAAAGGGGCTTAGTGGACTAAAGGTCAACTAAAGCCAACCGATTGCACTTTCCTACCATCTGATCCTCCCCTTCGGCAGCGATCCTGCATTTTGTCATACGACTATCTCTGTAGAGGCCAAGAGCCATGGTTTTTGTAGCAACTGCAGTTCAACGTTTATTTTTGTATTACTCGTGAGTAATACGAATATGCAGCATGGTCAAGCATGGAGAATATGCAGCATGGTCAAGGTAGAGAACACATTTTTCCATTAAAATACTGTAGGCTGCCCAGTCTTTGCAGAGGAGAATTATGGGACTTATAGTTCCAGAACAAACAAGAAGATAATCTTTACTGTAGCAATAAAATCATGAATATTTTATTTAGCCAGCAAAGTTTGGAACATACAAACCGTGAGAGGGGCATTCACATACCTTCATGAAGTTGATGTCCTCTGTTTTGTCAAACATGACCTGTACAGAGCTCAGCAGCTTTTTGGCTTCTTGCATACGTTCATTTAGCTGCAGAACCTGGGCTGCATTCTCATTGCAGAATTTGGCTTGAGCCTTATCCAGAACATCCATGGTTTTCCTCATGTCTTCATCCAGAATCTGGTGCAATCTCTCGTACTGCTGTCGGACTTCGTCCTTCAGCTGGTTCACCTTTTCCTGAGGAAGAAAACAACGCTGATATTACTAATCAGCCAGGGCATAGGCCACAGATGTAATATTTACTAGCTATTTGACTACCTGGATGCAAGATGTGATTGTATGTGGGGTTACATTGACATATGTTTGTATCTCTTGTACTATTGCTTCTCTTGACCTCTGCACAGTATAGGTATTATCACTGTAACTGAAGGCCTGTTATCTGTGAGATTTGGCCATCACTACAAAAAGACCTGGTGACTGGGCCACAATAAACAAGTGGCAGATGGCCCATTCAGCAGCATTTAGAAAACCATATTAGGTATAAAACTTAATATGGTATTGCGGACAGTGATGAAAGTCGGGGGGCTGGTCAACTTCCAAGGAGATGATAACACTGCATTGACTTTCCAAAAAGTGTTGTCAGCTCTGCTCATTTCTATTCTACAGGAGTACAGAACAGTTCCCGCTCGAATCATCCCCACAGAATAGGAGTGGGCCTCCTGTAGTCTAGCATGGAGAGCGAAGGCAGGGCTGACAACACTGCTTGAGATTTTAAAGCACCAGAGGTAGTGCTGTCACCTCATTACAGTAAGTCAGGACCTCATTGGATTTCTGGCAGGACCAACAATAATTTTTCTGTACTTGCAGCATTTGTAAATATGCATGTAATGTAGAGATTGGCTTAATGTGTTTTCCCCCCAAACATACAATTTAAAGCCATTAGCAAAAAGTCCTGCATCTAAGCTATTTCTATCTTTAATTAAATAATATCACAAGTAGGTATACTGTTTGAAGCCCTGTTCTTACATGCTATAACTGCTATGGCAGCATGAAGAATCAGACCCAATATCACTGCACCTTAATAGAGTCACATACATGCCAGTCATATAATACAATTTAATATACCATGATGATTATGATTTGAAAAACCCTGTCTTGCTTCCTAAACTGCACGTCAATGAACCATTATTTCTTGCTTAAGACACATAACGGCTCTTGGGATATACCCGTTTGGAAGCTTTCTTTTAAATCAAAATGCAAGTGATATAGCTTGCCTGGATTAATATTTCTGTCCAGTGAGCTGGTGTTCAGAAGAAGCAGTTACCCAGATTAGCGCTCTGTCCTTTAGACACAGACGGGATGAGTGACACACTGCAGTCTGTCATGCCATCTGTGTGTGCGGATGAGGCCTAGTTTATCCACACACATGCCAGCGTGACACCTGTTGTGTGCAAATTCCCTGTCTACAATATAGTGGATCCTAGGCTCTGCAGTGAGCAGGCTGACCGTAGATTAGAAATAAATATAATAAAAAGAGCTTTGTTGTTCTAGTTAAACATTTCCATCTACTTAGGTTGGGCTTTCTGGAATGGCTGCATTAGCTGAAACCTAGGTTGGCTACATTCCCTTGTTTCAATACATTATGACCTTTTTTATGCAAGTCTGCATTGCTTAATGGAATATTTAATTACACAGACATAACATATTGGTTTTAGAAGAGTTGCATGGACCTGTGTAGCCACACAGACATGTAGTTATCGTGTGACATAGTAAAAATCTTTGGGGGAAACCACAAGTTCATTGAGCCTGAGACGGGGGCTAAGTTGGGCTCTCTTGTCTACATTAATCTCCTACTCTGTCCTCTGTAATATGCAGCAAACCACAGAGATACCCATAGATCTATGAACAGTTGCTAACTTGTCCCTTTAATTATAGACACATGACCTGCTAAGATTCTCAATCAGGTAAGATACTGAAAAAATGTAATTATCTACAGAAGCAAAGCATACATACAACTTTTATATATGTCAGCAATTAAAGGAACATTAGCAAAAGTATAACCAGGATGAAATACCAAATTGTTATGGATATACAATGTACAGAGTTTAGCAGTCTGAGGAACGTCATGTATAGCACAGTGTACATAGCACAACAGCATGTGGTTTGTAAGTCTGTGTTACAATGGCAGTTAGTGGAAAGTGCACCATTAGGCCTTGTTCACACCAAATGCAGACCAGATCCGGTCAGGTTTCTGCACACGCAGTGCAGTGGGTTGTGCCGCGTTTTGGATGCGTTTAGGGCCGGTTTTGGCAACAGTTTAACATGGGCTTTCAGGCACTTGCATGCGTTTTAGATGCGTTCCAGAGCAGGTAAAATAGGGCTTGCCGCAGTTTTTTCATCCGGTCTGGATCTGGTCTGGATCCGCACGCTGCGATGTGCACTGGAGGTCAAAATACCATAGGAATACATTGGACGCAGTTTTGATCCGGTCTGCACCTGCTCTGGTCTGGATCTGCTCTGCGCTTGGTGTGAACAAGGCCTTACATTAGTGGTGGTCATCGGAGATGGTAAAGATTCCAATGAAAACAAACCTACCCACATTTCTGTGTGCTCTTTAGGTCTATAAATGTCAGTTTAGCTTTTAATGATAAATAATGATTTTACTGCAGTTGTTGTCAATGGAGCTGGCTCCTGAATTGGACAGAATGGCACTTCCACACAACAACCATCCATCCACATCAAAATGAAAGCCCCAGTTACCCCAAAAGTGATACTTTAGGTATAACTAGAGCTTGGTGGGCCAAGTCAACCCCAAGATTCTTACACGTCTTGGATACCAACACAGGGATCTCCCTGAAATATTTGTTCCCTTCCATCTGGGGGATATGGGTGTTTTCACCCACCTTTGCGATTTCCAGCATCTTCTGTTGCATTCCACATTACATTAAAGGAAAAATAAGGCAAGTTTGTAATAAGTACTTTCTGACTTTCAAAAATCGAACTAAAAAAAAAAAAAGTCCATGAACCACACAGTGGTTATTTTAGATAGCTTCTGTGTTGTGTGGTTAGGGAGTGTAATGGGAGGCTTAGAACTATGAATGAATCTGAGACTAACAGAAAAGAAAGGGGTATTACTAACCAACATTTGCCTATCACATAGCTGAGGGCCGAAGAGATTATAACATCCCTGCTTGGTGCTTTTCCACTTTGGCATGCCCTGCCTGTTATCAAAATAGTTCAAGTGTATGTTGCCCCCAACAATGAACTTCTATTTGCTCTCTTTTGGTCTGTAAAATATACAGTTGAAAGCGTTTTGTTTTATCTTCTCAATATGTGCCAAAAAATACCTGTTGATCTTGTCAGAAATTCCCTCTTGCAGTGTGTGGGTAGCCCCACTGCAAGGGTTAAGTGCTTGTTTTTCTCTAGGGGATGGAATAAAGCTGAATTACTCACTTGATCCTCAGTCCCAGGGTAGTCACTACTCAGCTCTCTGCCTTCACTCCACCTGTAGAATGTCCCTCAGCACACTCACATCTAATGCAAGTCAATGGACATGCATTAGACTTGATGACGTCAGTGGTCCTTCGACCGCCAAAGCATGGGGGAGAAAAGGCTGCGGGGACTGGTCTTGCAACTCAGCGGGATCGAGGAACAGGTGAGTGCATCTGCTTTCTTCCATCCCCTAGAGCAGTGGTCCCCAACCCCTGGGCCGCGGGACCGGTCCGTGGATCAAATGGTACCGGGCCGCCCAAGGAACATTAAATGATTTCCATTTTATTTACTGTGGTGTATTTCTCTCGGGTTTGTCCGACTTTCCAGGACGAGAGGTTAACCGGGAGCTGAGAGACGTCACCTAAAGCCGCACCAATACCGCGCATGCGCAAAATATCGTGATATCGGGGCGGTTTTAGGTGACGTCTGGAGCTGAGCGGCTGCAAGCGGCAGTGGCGTTGTAGCTTTGGTAAAGAGAAGGTGTGTATCGCTCTTCTCTCTGTTCACCGGTACTTTCTCATGTTTAACAGTGCTTGGTGTACGTGTATATTGTGTTTGCTCAAATTTAACCCACAAATTACCAAAAATGAGTACGAAACAGACGTTGTTAGAAAGTTTCCTTGGGAAAAAGAAAAGGCCCAGTGAAGAGACAGAAGAAGGGCCTTCAACATTAAAGAAACATGTAACGTTTAACAGACAATACCATGAGTCCTACTTGAAATATGGATTTATCGGGACAGGTGATTCCCACACACCAAAACCGCTCTGCATAGTTTGCGGCGACCAGCTCTCTAATGAGGCAATTAAACCTTCTAAAATTATCAAACGTTGACCGGTCCGCGGCGATAAAAAGGTTGGGGAGCACTGCCCTAGAGGAAAAGGAATACTTTACCCTTGCAGTACGAGGGTAGCCCCACTGGAAAGGAAAGTTTTTTAAATTCCTGGATTTCCTATTTAATGCTGAAGTTCTCCTTTAATGTAAAGCCATCTAACAAGGAGGCAAGCTCCGAAGTGACAGCTTAAATTCATTGCAGTTTCCCCAATTCACTTTCATTTACATAGCAATTTTGCTGACGCCCCATTTCTGTTCTGCAGATAATAGGCTGATGCTCTATCCATTGTCAATTATGGATGATAGTGACAGAAGATCAAAACAATGGACAGATTAAAAGGAATAATGAGGAGAAAATAAATATTTTTGTAAGATTGCGTAGAGGTGTCCATACGCAGATCATGAAACACCTGTTCCAAGTTTGATGCAAAAATGATAAAAAAAAAAAAATCACAAGACATTGGCCAAACTGGGAGCTTTCATCTGAGGTTCGATTTAACTCTGCTTACATGAGCAGAGATAATTTGGAGCTGCACAATACATATCTGTTGGGTGTACATAATGGGCTTGTGCTTGCTTCTGGATATCAGATTCTCACATATAACACCAGCATATTCATAGGCTTCCACATAAATTGATCTAACCCAGGGGTAGCGCAAATTCAGCCCTTCAACTGTGGTTATACTACAAATCTCATCATGCACTTGCCTCTGGAAGTCATGCCTGTGGCTGTTGGGTTTTGCAATGCATTATGGGCCTTGTATTTCCACAAGCTTGAGGGTCCACATTTGGCTACACAAGGTGCCTGCAGTTTAAAGCTCAACCTCTAGCTCAGATTATTTTATCAACCACCACCAAACACCAGTATATGTGGTTGTATATACATTAAAAATGATTAAATGTATTTTTAAATATAACTGGTGCAGGTACATGTCTTGCTATCAGACTTCTAAAATGCCCTTGCATAGCTAGAAGAGGGCAGGCCAAAACGAAAAGTCAATTGTGCTCAGACCTCAGTAGTGTTCTTCTGCTCCTCCACTGTCCATTCACAGGCTGGGGTGTGTTCTTGACCATGCTATGCTGCTACTGCAGAGGAGGTTGAGAACTGTACTGTACTGAGAATCAACAAACTGGCTGCATGGAATTACAAATCCTTTTGCAGTTGAATCAGCTCCTATAAAATGTATTTCAACTGTGTCTTTAACCACTTCCTTGAGTGCAACTTTAAGAGTTTTAATTCAGACACATTTTAGGAGCTAATGTGTTCTCTTTAAAAACGTCATGAGACAAATCTTGAGTCAGTGCATAAAAAAAACAAAAACTACAAATACATTGTCAGAAGCTTCAGGTTCAATGCAGACTTATGTATCGTGCATACATGTTCTTCTGCAGTACCATTCATTGTCAATTGTACCCTTACATACTACACGGCACAGCAGCACACCACAGCGCATATACCATGTGGTGGGGTGTGCTAAAGTGGAAACAAAGGGTCATGTGTGTTTTCTGGTCTGTTTCAATGCGCTGCCAACCTATTTATTATGCAATAACGCTGTGCACGTCAACATGCGACTTACCACAAAAACACAAAACAGAAGAAGAGGTAGTCACCGGCTCTCTAGTATTTGCTCCGTCAATACTTCTTTATTGACTGATAAAAGGTCATTTCACAATGCAAAATAACGAACGTTTCGGAACCATGTCGGTCCCTTTATCCGGCAAACAAAGTGATGATAGCGCAAAAACACAGCGCATCAATTCATTGAAAATCCTGATGAACTGAGAGAGACTGCAAAGTTAAAATGGCTGCCTCTTCTACAAATGCACTTGTGCTCACTATAGCGCTGTACTAACCTCCACTAGTCTCTTGTCAGATTCCAGTTTGTACAGTTGATCTTCAATGTCTTGCTCACGCTCCTCAAGGCGATCCTGTTGTTTCATAAGCATTTTCTAAAAGACAGAAAGAACATAGGCAAATTATTCACCAAATATTAATTATTATTCTTGTGACTATTAATATGCTCAACCAGATCTGGTTTTATCACGTAAATACCATTAGTTGTCTAAATGTGTAATTTAAAACAACATACATTTGTTGTGGCTTACGTGTCACCAACCCAACCACGTTAATCAGAATCTGCAAGCCAGCAAGAAAACCCAATAGGCCTCTAGCCGACTCTCTACTCCTTACCCCCGGAATATAGAAATTATTTATACATCATGTCAGGTCATGAAATAAAATGATTATGAAATAGTTACTGAAACTGAGACAGTCATCACAAGAAAAAGGACAGTCGGCTATTCACTCAAATGACATTACTGTAAAAGATTAAAACTAGCTGCAAGTGGATGGAAAATATCTCCCACCGCTAGCTGGTTTTCTTAGAACATAAGCCTACCATACAATCTTAAGTCTGTTTTTACCATCAGACAGGAGGCTACACATTTGTTTCCATCATCTGCAGAAATGCAGTCATTTCTTATAAGCTTCTTTTTATATTGTCACAGTAAACAGCTGGGGTAGAACAAGTAAAACAAGAAAATATTCAGGGTATAGGAGGTGATATTCATAGAGGGGAGTTGCATCGAGCAGTCACTCCAGTGATAAAAATCTGGCTGGAAAATTCTAGTTACGTCTGTGCTTGTAATATGACTGTAGCTGAAGTCCTTCACCTGCAGTGTAAAATGTGAAGCCCCAAAGCATTTCTAATTCCAATACTTAGGGTGTATCCTGAAACAAGGTCACAGTCCGCAGCCCCTCACCCCCCAAACTGTACCCTCCTCTTACTGTATCACAAGGTGCTTCGCCCTACAGGTTCTTGTCTATTTGTGAATTAAAAATCTAAAAGTCCTGTCTGCCGCCTTGAAGGTCTCAATGGACTAGAAGTGTGGTCACATCCCTGCACTGTAGTTCATTGAAAACTTCCTCGAGTAACCCAAAGTCTGTACTTTGGTAGGGACAAGGCCTGGAGAAGCAGACTGCAGGAGCCTGGGTATTGCACGCACAATCCACTGAAGCTCCATTGCAAATAATAATTGCACTTTCTTTATAATCAGTGTGGGTGCATTTATAATTTTTTTTGCAAGAGGAAGAATTATTCTTTAATTAAACAAAACCTTTCCAGAGAAACATGGGGGCTGCCATTGCTGACTTCACATTCTAAAAATGCTACTTGCCTGTCTGTCAAGATGACCCTCCTGCTTTAAACACTCTAAGCCACTAACCTGAAAAACGTTTGCAGATAAGCGGTTTTATAAGGATCAGTTCTCTGCCCATTCAGGGCAAAGCAAAAGGTTTGCTTGAACCCCCCTCCCAGGCATATGCTCATTGATAAATCTATTAGAGAAGGGACCAGAGGCGGGACTTTTGTGATTTCCGTCCACTTTAGCTGCCTGTTTATGCTGGCACTTAACGGCTGACTCTCATAGTACCCTGCGAGAGGAGCCACCCTAAATACCTCAGATATCAGGGCCAGCACCCAGGGGTCCAGCTGATTCTGCGTGGAAATTAAAAGGAAATAATAGAAAGAGCAGCAAGTTACTTCAATAGCATTTGCAATGATTTATAAAAATGTGAGCTTTAATATTCCTTTAAAGAGAACCTGTTACTATGTACTGCATGGGCAAAGCATCGGTTCATTTTAAAAGAAGTTCTCCTCGCAGTGTTATTCTTTACAAAAAGAGCTGATGTTTCACACATCTGAAATGACACTGCGGCTTTGCCCCATGGTTCTACTGCTAATGTAGATACTGCTTACCGGGGTGTTTACAAATTTGACTAGTATGTAACTCTTTCAAACACGTATCATGTGTGCATTTCTAATAGGAGGGAACCCAACCTTTAATAGCTTGAGAGCCACAGTCATACAATAAATAGTGTTGAGCCTTGCAAACAGATAAAGCACACAAAAGAATAATGGTATTATTTACACTCCGTTTGGAAGTTCATTTTTGCCAGTTCCCCTTTTCAGAAAACAGCACAGGCTAAAAAGCAGATCTGCTGATATGGAAATGTCTGGCCAATTCCCAGTTGTTACTCACTGGAAAGCAGAGGAAGCATTGGCTACACTGTTGATTGAGTTGATGATCTGACAAGTAAACAGCTTCCTTTTTAAATAATATATGGCCTAGTCAAGGGTGTACCTTATCCCCGCACACCATGTGACTGGTCTGGGGCACAGTAGTAAACTGGTTGCCTCCAGGGGCAATCATCCGCAGGTAATCCCTGCATGTCCAATCACATGCAAATAACTGCACGTGGGGTTATGCTGCAATTTTTGCAGCACACTGGATGCCACTGCAGGTGACCACTGTTGTGAGGCGACCTGAATGAAGTGTACACATAAAATTGAAAAAAAAATGTAAACAGTGACAGCTCCGGCAGTGTGAGAAACAACGCACACTGCCAGAGCTGTCACAAAAACACTGGCAGCGTTTTAGCTTATGGGCTAGTGTGAACGGGGCCATAGTGACTGGGTTTACATCTACTTTAGGAACAGGTCTCACTAGGGCTAAATGGTAGAAAAAGATTGTTGGAGAACTTGGGGCCAATAATGATTGTACCATGAGGAATGGTCACATACAATAATGACTCTCCGACTTGTGTTACCAGCCACCAGGACATTCACGCTTCCTGTCACATTCATTTAATGGATGCAGTAGAATACTTATACAGACATCCCAACCTGTAACACCTTATTTCAGGGAGGTTCCCGTCTCATTTCAGGGAGGTGCTTATATATATATATATATATATACACACACACACACATCAGATTTGTGAATTGATGTTCAAGTATCTGTCAGTGTAAAGGTCACAATTTATTAGACAGCCAGAGACCTTTTTAAAAAACCGCTGAGGAGTAAAGTCCCTGATACACAGTTGACTAGTTGCTATGTGCAACAAATGAAATAATTGTTCTCTATAACTAGACAACCAGGGCATATAATTGATTCTATATGATCCACAACCCTGCAGCAGTGCCTGTACCTGCTCTCAATAGTAGTCTATGTCCGCCCTCTCTGTGCAGCAAGTAGCTTCTTCCTTCTGAGAGCCAAGCCTTGTTCTGAGGCTACTCTAGAGATCACATGACCTTCCTCCAGGAGGCAAGCCTCACTCTGAAACTTTACCCACTGATATCTTACCAAAAAGGTTTACTCATAGTAAACCTTTCAGGGAGAAAATGCCTCTCTCGCGGACGTCATGGAGCCGCTATCTAATAGAGGAAGACTAGAGGGAGACTCCCTGAACATTGGGGAGACTTGAGATCCCTGCTTATAAGGCCCGAGCACCACGTTTGCTTAACATGGCATGTATAAGCAAATATTGAGCCCAAATCACATGCAACACCACTCAGTACCATAACTTAGCTTAATTCCGGTTAAGCATTACCACACAGAACTTTTTCCAAGTGAATCATGACATAAAAGTTGACGCGACCTAGGCACACACAAAGACATTCCCTGCAGAATGAATCGTTGCCATTCTTGTCTCCAACAGAGATATTCCGTCTCGCTTCTGAGATTAGAATTTCATGTAATTAGACGATTTAATGAGAGCCTGCTACTCACGTATGCAGTCACATGTATATTTGGGATGAAAAAAACTCCCTTGAAAACTAATGGTGTGGTTGAGGAACTCACAAAAAAGTTCCAAAATATTCCAAAAACAAATATGTGGGTTGGCGTTTGATATTACAATCCAATTTAGTACCAAAATTAGAATCTGTCAGTATAAGAATGAAGGTTGTATTGGACTATAAATATGTTAATTTATAGAACAAAGGGCTCTGATAAATCATGATTGGCAGTGGTAGGGGAATGCCAAGTCTCACATGGCACATATGATTGTGGCGCATTGTATTTCACATACACTTACGTAGCAATGTGTATCATTTAATAGGTGCAGAAACCATGATCTTGACTGTCTTGCGGCATCATTCTCTTGGCACAATACGGCACCAATGCTCCTTAAAAATTACAGCTTACAACTTTGAAGTTTTTTTTTCTAGTTGTTGTCAATGGAACGGACCCCTAAAAACTCCTGCTGGCTCCTGGACTGGACAGACAGGTTACTGAATTCCATTATCTTGTCCACCCCTGAACAAATAACATTAAGCTTATGGCACTGGGGGGACACAAGGTTATCAGCTCAGATATGCCATAGGGAAGCACAATGAAATCCAGCTCTGATTATCGCCGCTGCCTCTGTAGGACAGGGAAGTGCAAGCCCAGCGTTTTCCTGGTACATGAAAGCATTAAAATATATTTAAAGCCAATCACCAAAATCTTATATAAGCTTCAACATGTTCATGGCATTTTCAATCTGTTTTTATTCTACAGCTTTCATTAAAAGGAATATCTGGTGATCCTGCCATAAAGGTCCTTCCCATCATAGGCGGTTATTGTCCAAAGGCATTTCCTGCTATTGGGTGACAATGCTCTCTCCGAACTGTGCGTCTGCATTGTCACCATCAAGGGGCTTCTGCTGAACATTACAAGAGTGTATTTCAACACATTACACAAGCATGTTCCACTGTTGTCGCTATTAGGAACGCCGACCTGAGAAAGGTCAAGCAGCCATTGCTGGAGTCTCTGTATGTAGACAGAAAGTGGCTACAGGAGATCATACTGAGATGCAGGAAAGGATAAAAGAGTAGAACAAGCATTTTATTTGGAAAAAAAAAGGCAATTGTTGTGGTGCACCATGCTTTAACCAACTAAATGTAATTGAGGAAGGGTTTACATCCACTTAAAAGTAATACAAGTGTGTTCAGTGATTTCTTTAGATTGTTTTGTACCAAGCACACAAATCTTGAATCCATGGAAGGATCAATTAAACACCAGAACCTCAAACTCCCCGCAGTGCTAACATGTAAAATATTTCCTATTGTACTACTACCGAGGAGCAGGCCTTTGACTAGGCCTTAAGAGCCGGCATTGTCCTGCAC